TTATCTGTTTGTAAAGTACTGCAAGTCCTTGTTGAGAGTGGGCATAAATAAATGATTGGTCGCTCTATTATTCCCATCAGGATTAATGTTGATTTCTTAGACAAACATGAGTTTAGAGCAGTGTAAATGACTTTTTAAGTTCTCCTTAGTTAAGGTGGTCAAGGGAAATGACTTTGACGAGATATTTTTGAAGTGTTACAGCAGGCAAATGCTCGCTGGGTAAAAGAACAGTTAATAACTTCATGATTTATGTGTTGCTGTTATAGCTTCTAATTTATTTTGGGTGCTGTGTACCTACTTCCTTACAGGTACTAAGTTGGTTAAAATATTTGAAAATAGGACCCAGGCCTGAGGAAAAGCCCTCTTACCCCTTACATCATTAAGACCCAGAGTATTGATTTAACTTAAACTCAGCATTTCTGAACACGAGCTAGTTTTACAAAGTAATCAGTTCTTGTATCGAATCACATAGCAACAGAGTTTCTCTCTCACATCTCAGGCCTTAATTCTTCAGTTGGCTCAGGAGTCTTTAGAGCCTGTCCAATACTCGCTAATCTCTCTTTTTAACAAAGAGAATTTAGTAACACTGGGCTTTGGGGGTACTGCCCTAATGATTGAAGTGTAAGCCCATCTGTGGCTCTCGTGGGTTCCTCTTCTCCCAGATGTCTGTTGATTTTGCAGATATTTATTTACAGAAATACTCAGATCCAATGTACATACACAGCCTACATTGACAGTGTGGATATTTGCATCCCAGATGTGGTTTATTTTTATTATAAATACTATTTTTAATTTTTATTTTGTTATTGTTTAATAATAGTCATTATTATTCTTTTAAACACTGCTTATGTGTTTTATATACTTTTTGGTACATATGCTATCACAAACAAAATTAATTAACTAGATTAAAAGAAGATAGTGACGAATTTGAAATCAGCTCCCAGGTGCTTCTGAGAAGCAGCAGCTTGGGCAGGATGAGGACATCAGCAGTACCAGGCTGAGCCCTCCTTAGGCTGTTCTGCTTAGCCAGGGCCCAGCAGCTGCTCCTTTGGGGTCTCTAAGGTGGAGGCCCCTGATTTGCTCCAGACTGTGGGTCAGAAGCTCTTGGAGTATGGCCTGACTTTGTTTATTTTATAAAATATAAATAATTCTAATGAGTACTAATAGGTTAAAATCAACTCTTTGGAGCTTTTTTGTTTGTTTAAAATGGAAGATGTTTCTAGTTTCCTTCCAAAGAGGTTTCTTCCCTGAGGGTTCCAAAAGTCTTAGCAAGTGCCAGACACGTTGTTTAATCTTTACAGTAGCTTTGCTGTTACTGTGAATATAATTCCCCTCATTAAAAGCCATGTGTAGGGCCGAGCCCGTGGTGCACTCGGGAGAGTGCGGCGCTGGGAGCACAGCGACGCTCCTGGATAATTCCCCCCATTAAAAGCAAAGTAGGGCCGAGCCCGTGGTGCACTCGGGAGAGTGCGGCGCTGGGAGCACAGCGACGCTCCTGCCGCGGGTTCGGATCCTATATAGGAATGGCCAGTGTGCTCACTGGCTGAGCGTGGTGCAGGTGACACCAAGCCAAGTGTTGCGATCCCCTTACCGGTCATGAAAAAGACAAAAAAAAAAAAAAAAGCCATGTGTAAGTGTGTGTGCATGCGTGTGTGTGTTTCTGTGTCTTCTGTGGACATTGTGTGTTCCTGTGATGGATACTGAGTCACAGTAAACTTAGTGACTGAAAGGATGTCTCTGCTCATGAAATTGTCTATACCTCCGCTGTCTGTTACGGGAGCCACTAGCCGTGTGTGGCAATTGATCCTGTGAAGTGAGACTAGTCCAAATTGAGAGGTACCGTAAGTGTAAAATACACACTGGATTTTGAAGTCTTAGGACAAAAAAGAAGTATGTAAAATTTCTCATTAATTGTTTTTATATGAATTACGTTAGAATATTAATATTTTAGATATATCAGGTTAAATAAAAGATATTA